TCGCTTTTGGCCTGCAGTCTCGTCTGTCGATCTTCAAGGGCCCCTCGGAGCAAATGCCTTCTACCAAGAATTAATGGTTTGCCATCCCGTACCTCTGGTCAGTCATGGTGGCGTTGGTACAATTGCATGTGCCGTTCTTTCACACCAAGGTACTTGCCCGGCTTTTGGACTCCGAAATTAGCTAGGTGTTGAACATCTTGATCAGGAAGTAGTGGCGGAATAATCTACGGAACCACAGACGGTGTATACAGAGGATCCCCTGACGGCTCTCGAGCGCGGCTCCTTTCAATCCACCACGTATCGCAAATCGAGATACTAGCGGATTCAAACCTTTTTCTGTGCGTTGCAGGTAACCGTTAATCTCTATATACTATCCTGAATGTCGTCGTCTGCACCCTTTACAGGTGGTGCTTTCATGACCGTGCCATCATGATTCCCGCCCTCATGAAGGGTTGCAGCCTTACACCAGCCGTACATCCTTGCGTTCTGCGACATGCGGGTGGAAGTTTGGAACATCGAAACAGCGGAGATGATCCAAAAGGTCCAAGGACCTTATCATCTCCTCAATAATCCTGATTCAGGCGACACAATCCTCAGCACGTCGCTCACAACGGGAGACGTCGCAGAGATGGTATTCTATGAACGCGGAACGTGAAGTTACTGATTCTGCCTGGTGATTTCATGCCATTCCGGCTTGGCTCACGATTTTTTTGGATTCGGGATCAGATAAATGTACACTATACGAGTATCTCAAGCTGTCACGTATTCATTGCACCCGTTTCTCGAATTCTGCCACTAATTGCCAGTTAAGGTCATTGAGCTTATGCCAACCCAGTCGATGGGCGACCAGCCGCGCCGTGCTCAAGCGTACGAGGGTAGCATTTACCCAGCCCGGTCCCCGCGCGGGTGTAGACCAACGAATCGTCTTCGTTCGTCAATACCTTCACCATATCGTCGAAGTTAGCGATTTTGGGGGAGGGCCGTAGAATCTGGGAAGGATCAAATTCCTTCAGTGGGCCATAGGTCCTTTCGCGTCTTTGCGCTTCAGAGACGGTTAGCGTCACAGTCGGGGGAATTTTTGCGGGAGTCTTGTTGGAAATATCTATCTTGAAGACGGCGTTTGAGGACGGGGATTGGATTTTTCGAAGGAAGCTGTTAATATCGTCCTCGTCTTTACCGACCGAGGTCCCAATGAGATCTTGAAGATAATACTGGCGGACGTGTACTCACCGAGGCGGTAAAACTCTCCGCTTGAGCGTACCAGGTAGAGGTCGCGCAGATGTCGAAATTCGGAAACGTGCCCACTGTCCCATGCGCAGACTAAACGGCCTCCAAGTAATTCCATCTCGAATCCTTCCCCAGCCTCAGGCCCTTCATAAATGGGGGTAGTTTTGTGTGGAAAAGCATACGTCGTGAGAAGATGCGTGGTCTGTTGGAGAACAGTGAGAGCGTAGCAGAAGCGGAAATACTCCACTGGTAATTTGTGATCTATGCGCGTCTAAGAAACGGGTTCAGCGCTCAAAACAGTATGAAGGAATCGAACCACTGACGGCGTCGGTAAGCTTCGCTAAGTCCAGCAGGATACTGAAATCGTAGTCCGGGGTACCAGATACCGAGTCCTCCTCGGAAACCCAACCCCACCTCGAGGCGTTAGGATACTGGCAAAATATGATAGCAAGGCGTTTGGAGGAGAGCCACGAGGCCCATTCCTTGACGTGCGCAGGCAAAGGTTGGCTAGGATGGACAGCCTTCTGCAACTCCAGGAATATGCTGTCGATGGAGAGCTGCAGCGACACGCGTGAGCACATGCAGAATATAGCATTCTCGGCGAGGGAGACTGCGTTGGAGAAGTCGACAGGTGGAGTCACAACCTCTGAAGTATCGGGATCCTTGAGGAGGAACCGACAGTTTGGTCTGTGTAATCGGTTTAGGATTGGTGGATGATAAAGCTGGAAGAATGTGTCTGACCTTGCAGGCTGAGTCTTTGTCCACCGAAAGGGCAGAAGAAGAAGCAGTGGTGCCGCAAAGGCAATGGCGTACAGAGGGAGATTGTGTGAGAAGGCAGACGACATGGCGTGTGCCAGGGGTGAGTTCAGGGGGTGGCAGTGCGAAAGTCGCACGCTGACATGCCTCATAAGCTCGATTGCGTCAGACCAATGGAAGACTTCCGACGCGGAACTATCGTCTCTGATGCCCAAGTCGCTGAACGCATATATAGGGCGGCACTCGAGGTACGTAGCATTGTTCCCCAGACCCAAAATGCCTTCTGATTTGGAAGCTGCAGAGCCCCAATCACCCCAAATTTCGCAGCAAAAAAACGCCCTAGAAAAAAGCCACCCCAGCGAAGACTCCACGACTCTGACGGGAAGAAAGCTCGCAGTCATCTTTGTTGCCATGTAAACTTCTGCCCTTTTGACTGGCTGACACTGACTCGATGTTTTTGCAAGACTGCTCTCTGTCCTGTTGATTGCATTGGACCAAACAATTCTCGGTATGCGTCGTTGTCGTTCAGATTGAACCAAGGCTTACTATCCTCCGTTTCCTTCCCCAGCGACTGCGCTTCCTCGCATTGCATCGGTTTGTCCACCATATCGTAGCTCCCAGAACGTCTTCGCTAAACTCATCCCCAGGACTTCGAATCTTTTACTCTACAAGGCTGGATCGCCACGTCCTTCATCCTAGCGCAGAGTATGTGTCAAGGCTGCGGCTTGAGCGAGTACTGATACTGCACTAGCTGTTTCCCTTCTGTTCTATGGCCAACTGTTGCGCATATTCCCGGCCAAATGGGTTCTGGTCACCTCGATTTTCTTGTTTGAGCTCGGGTCTTTGCTGTGTGGTGTTAGCCAGAGCGTAGGCCAGCTCATTGCTGGGCGGACTGTCTCCGGTGTCGGCGCCGCGGGCATTTGTGAGTTCAAAAGATCGTTGCAAATGACCTTATTCACACCCTTGCAGATGTTGCGATGTTCCAGGTCCTCGCGCAAGTCACCCGTCTGCAAGATCGACCAAGGCTGTTCGGGATGTTCGGAGCCGTGTTCGGGCTGTCGTCAATCATTGGCCCGCTCATCGGAGGGGCTTTCACGGACCACGTCACTTGGCGGTGGTGCTTTTTCGTAAATTCTGTCAACCTCCCGCTTTTGTCTTTGAATTCTCACTCGTTACCTCAGATCAACCTGCCCGTTGGAGGAGTCTCTTTGGTCGCCGTGACGCTCCTCCTCAAGGCATCCCCACCTCTCGGAAGCGACCCTACCAAACGCTCGTGGCCAGACATCCGCAGGCAGGTAGCCCACCTGGACTTTCTCGGTGCTGCGCTCGTCGCTGGGGCGGTAACGAGTCTCGTCCTCGCTCTCCAGTGGGGCGGCAACACCAAGCCATGGGACGACAAGGCCGTGATAATCGTGCGTTTCCTCATATGGTTGGAATTCGATGCTTACCTTGTGATGCAGTGCTTCGTTTTGTCCGGCGTCATTGCAGGCGTGTTTATTGCCTGGGAGATATATCTCGGCGAGCAGGCCATGACGCCAATGTCGATTATGCATTCCAAATCAATGTATGCACCGTGTTTCCAACTTGTCCTTCAACGAGCTGACATGTGCCAGATATGCCATCCTCGGATTCTGCTTTCTGGGTCGGTTCTCAATGCTCATATACTCATATGTAAGCGTCGCTCCCATTGTTTCGAGTTGTTTCAACCAATGGCTGAATAGTACATCCCAATATTCTACCAAGCCGTCCGACACCACAGCGCTACCAAGTCCGGAAGTTCGTGCATGCTCCCCATCTATCTTGTACTATATCTAACACACCTTTAGTTGATATACTGCCCTTCATGCTCGCCGCCGTGATAACCATTATGGGTTCGGGCCAGATTGTAGGCAGGACCGGATACTAGTGAGCATAATTCGCATTCCATTGCACTTTGTTTGATTCATCGTCACAGCTGGTATTTCCTCGTTATCTCCCCGTTTTTCCTCGGCGTCGGGTCCGGTTTGCTCTACACCCTCAACATGGACTCCTCGTCTGCCAAAATTGCCGGATTTCAGATTATAGCCGGGATCGGTACGGGGATGGGCATGCAGAATGGGTTTATTGCCATCCAGTACGCGGCCTCCTGCTCTCTCTCCGGCACAGACAACCCTACTCACCAAATATTCATTCGCAGAGCCGAGTTCAAATCCAAACCCAAGTTGATCGGCCAAGCCACAAGCATGACCTCCTTCTTCCAGTACCTCGGTGGTACCGTCGCGCTCGGCATCGCGGAACCTGTCTTCGCCTCCGAGCTCGGGACGTACCTCGAGCGGTTCGCGCCCGATGCGCCAGCGGCCATCGTGCGACAGTCGCCTACCGCGATATACACGGCGCTGCCCGTAGAACTTATTCCCGGTGTCGTTCACGCGTATGCGGAAAGTTTGAGGATCGTGTTCGTGCTGGGCGTGCCTGTGGCTGGGTTGGCTCTGCTGTGCGCGGTGTTTATCGAGAATATCCGGATTGTGAAGAAGGGGCCGCCCAAGTTGGGTGCCGGGCCAGGGAAGATGGAGGGTAAGGGAGATTCAGAGAAGGGTGTCGCTGCGGCTGCTGAGTAGCGCAGACGGAGGTGATTCTACGGTGCATCACATTTTAGTTCCCTCAACAATCCCGTTTCGTGTATCATGCCGTGCATGTGCTAGTACTAGTCACCCCAACTCACCACGCTCGCTTTGTTTTGCTTATCCTCGCCAGAAGATGCGGGGGGTGTAAAACGTGAGGAATGGGCTACTGGGACCCCAATTCGGTTCTCGAAACGGCTAAAACACCGAGGCCTTATAAATTATAGTAAATTCGACCCAACGTCCCATGGGCGGAAAATTTGCCTACAGAAAACAGAGAAGATGAAAAAGATCAGAACGAAACACAGTATGGCATAGGGGGAAATGCTGGCGCAATGGTTCGACATCACAGCCGACTGATATTTCTCGCGGGTGAGGCGCATAAGCACGGGGCCCGGCCCGGAATCTGATTGTGCGTACCACTAGGAGGAGTCGAACCTCCAACCTCCCGCTCCCGACGATGATCGGTTGCGGGCAGTTTAACCGCTGGCCTATAGTGGACATACCCAAGGCTGCGTTGTTGGTCAATATAGCGGATCTGGACCACGTGTCAGGGTAGATTTGAACACTGTAGCCTATTGGATGCTCTCTGGGAGCTGGGCGATTTTGAGCCGGACAACCTCCAAGGGTTGTAGCGATGCTGCCGAGTCGAACGTCGAATCTGACGGGGATAAACAATACGTAACTGTGGGGGAGGCAGTGCACCTGCCAATCACTGGCCAAAACGGGAAATCACGCCGACTGAACAAGTCTCTTGGTTCCTTCGCTCATCCCCGCCCAATACACCCCGCTTTTAGACACCTTTCTCGCCCAAAAACACCTCGACAGCTCCGATATGTCGTCAGACCTCTGCGCGGCAGTCCAGAGCGCCATCCTCGCCGCCATCACCAGTCCCACATATCGTCCGGCGCGTCTCCCCCCGCTCGACGAACCCCACTGGGCGAAGTTCGCTGACGAGCCGGTGGAGCTCCTGGAGGGTCTGAAGCAGAAGAGGATGAGGAAAGGGTACTCAAAATTGGGCAGGCTCGCGCTAGAACACTGTGTGGTGATAATGCTTGGCGAATCTGTGTTCGATGAGCTTGACGGTTACGTGAAGGTCAGGGCGGGTTTGCATTCGGCGGTCTGATTATTAACGGATCCCTGCTTTCAGACTATCCAGCGACAGATCCTGTCTGAAAATGTCCTCGCCGCCATCCTAAAGAAGATCGACGCGAGGCTGCTCGGGAAAAGGGCCTCAGCTTCCGGCTTCCTACAATTCGTCGGTGCACTGTGGGTTAGCCACAACTACAACACTGGGGAGGTTTCCGCGCTTCTTTGGCCCACCCTCGAACCCCTTGTCGAGATCGCCGGGACAACCTACACGGACTTGAAAAGGTACGCCTTCCTGTCCGTCATCTACAGCCTCCGAATTGACGAACCCATCTGGTACGAGCAGAAGAGCGGACACAGCGTCGGACGGCAAGAAGCTTCCGAAAATCAGTGATGGTACGTCCAGCTCAGGGAGACCGTGCAACATGAACATGGCATTTGACTTCATCCAGATCTTCAGTTCCTCATGAATGCTCGCGGGATTCAAGCCAGTTATGTTCCACATCCGTCCAGCGTCGTCAGTACACGAGGCTACGATGTTTCACCATCACACTTACGCAGACAATGCTTTAGAGCCCTGCCCGTTCGGATTCCAGCGATTCAGACGAGTCAATGGCGAGCCCCAACTGCAACGTCGACAGGACCGCATCCTCTCCTTATCAATTCAGGGTCGAGGTACGCTCCCGTTAACTCCCAACACCAGCCCCATTTAATCCTCATTTCAGGAGCGTGATCCTGCCGAGTTTTATGTATGCCTCCTTCATCAATTCTCGCAGAATCGTTAATCATCTGTAAATACAGAATCCGGCGGTATCTCCCGGCACGTTCGAGTCTGAGGCTGGGGCTTCCGAGAGGAGTGGTAGTCACCCGCCGCTCGTGGATTCTAACAAACTACTTCGTCCTGCGATTCTCCGGACCCCGATCGCGATGGAAGAGGACGAGGCACATCGCAGCCGCGAGTTCTTTGTAGGTTTACTAGTGGCTGCAACGGAGCGCAGACTGATCCTCGAAATACTTCTCAGGAATATTCGCCAAGACAGTCTTCGAGTTCTTCCTCGACCGATGCTTATGTGCGTATCTACCAAGCCTAACTGCTCTACCTCGTCCTGATGACTTGAGACCGCAACTCAGAGCCTCTCCCCGTACGCGTTCAACCTCCCGGCAAACTTGGGTCTGGCTCGGAGTCACGATGTGGGCCATACGGTTTTGCACGAGGTACGCATTTCATAGTTCTTCAGATAATTGCACATATCAAACTCCTTACACAGATCGAGAATACGCCAGCGCCCTCGGCAGGTGATGCGGCACTGCTGGCCCCGGCGTTTGAGGTGCGTTCTATTCGCTGTTAATTTGATTACTCTGCTCAAGAGAATATGTAGCCCGTAGTCAAGCCCCAGCCCAACGCGACGGCGTCGTCGTCCAAAGTTCGACTGGACGTACGTTGTTTATCCTTCTGGCATCCGCGGTGCTAACAGATGAATTCAGTCGGGATTGGGGAGCGCCGCCGTCGATAATGTCAAACGCAGCCCGCTAGCTCCCAGCAATGGCCAATCCCCCCGAGGTGGACCGATCTCACTGCGGGCAAATGCCGTGGCCGCGGCTTCATGGCGTTTGAACGGCGTGGGAAGGACACTTGCCATGGCGTTGGCACGGCGTTGGCGCGGCGTTGCACCTTTTGTCCTTATCTTATCTTCTGTGGTGCGATAACCCCAATATAGATAAATTATCCGACTTCCCCAACCACGGATCAATGTTGCGAAGAAATCAATTTCGGAAAGGAAGTTTACCGGTAGATCAGATTGCGTGGATGGATGTGAGATAAAGGTCGACAAGCAAGAGTGATAACAGTCTCACTCCCCCTCAGACTCCCACTTGCGATCCTACTTGCTCTATGGGCAAGAAGGTCTGCATCTGCCCAAAGTGCATTCTGCACCATGTCGTCGTTGATGGCCACCGGATACCGGGCCGTAAAGTTAGTCAGCAGGAGCGTCGGCTCCACGAGATTGCAGCTGCTGCGAGCCGTTCACCCGATTATGCCAAAGCCCCCAAGTCCCACCCTGTTGGTGTAGAAGAATCCTCTGATGAGGAAGGAGAGAAATGGGGCAACAAATCTCGGGACTCACCGGGTGCGTAAAAGCCCTACAAATAATATCATACCAGAATGATATTCTATTTGCAGGCATTGCGTTCGACAACACTCTAATTATCCAACTCTGTGCAGCCTTGCTTGTCTGGTTGAATTTGAAAGCTAGTGTTGGCCGCGAGACGGCAAATACTGTGCTGAAGGCGCTTCAATTTATCCTTACTGCCGCTCTGGAGCTTTTGCAGGTCACACTGGCTGCACAGGGAATACCCATTCAACTTCCGAAACTGCGAATCCCCCAGGACCTTCGAACGATCTACCGGAACTATACTAGCGAGCCCGAAATTGTTCGGACACCTTGCTGTCCTAGATGCTATACCCTCTATCCATCGCTGGAAAACATGCCAGAGAGATGCACAGCGAAGGTTTCGAAGAAATCACGCATTCCCTGCAAAGCTGAACTTTGGCGGACCCAACACTTTGGCAAGGAATCTAAACGAGTTCCCAAAACAACCTTCAACACACAGAAATTCGAATCCTGGATCGAATGGTTTCTCTCGCGAAAATCTACAGAGGACTATCTAGCCAAATCATATCACAGATCTGCTGCCCCGGATGGAGAAGAGATGCATGATCTTCAGGACAGCCCGCGGTGGAAGGAACTCAAAAAACTAGGCGACAAGTATAACTTGGTGTTTGGGCTATATATTGATTGGTTCAACCCAAGATCAAATAAACTAGCAGGTGGGTGTCCAGGGGGATGTTTTTCTTCCCGAATCTGACAGATTTGGATGGATAGGAAAACAGGTCTCCACTGGCACAATCCTGCTTTATTGCCTCAATCTTCCCCCCGAAGTTCGCTATCTGCCCGAAAATGTTTTCATCGTAGGGTTAACCCCATCGCCTTCCAAACCTAATGCAAGGACACTACTGCCTCTACTGGACCCGCTTATGAGGACAATCCTTGGGTATGATTCACCAGGGAAAGCCGTGAGGACCTATTATCATCCAGAGGGTGTTAAAGTGGCAGCACGCATTGTCCCTCTGGTTGCAGACCTTCCAGCAGCCAGAGAAGCCGGTGGCTTTCTTTCATACTCGGCGACAATGTTCTGCTCTTTCTGTCTTCTCACAAAAGACGAGCGCGGTCGAACAGATTACTGGGCATGGCCAAAGCGAATAGGTTCTACTGTGCTTAGACAGGCAAAGGCCTGGTTCAGAAAGCCAACCAAGGGAGAGAGGGATATCATGGAGAGAGAAACCGGGGTTCGAGGGTGTTCTCTTCACCTCCTCCCATACCGTGACCCTGTGAACGACACTCTGTTGGGTTTCATGCACTGGCTGGAGGGCATTCTTGGACACCAATTACGAGTACTCTGGGGGGTAGGACGTGATGCTCGTCGAAAAAAAAACCTTGCAGAGTTTGACGCAGACGACGAAGATATGTGGACTGACGAGGAGATATCCGAGGCTGGAGGAGATGCAGATGCACGGGATGTATTGGACGACGAGGCAGCTTTTGATCCGGAGGAATTTGCGCAGTGGAGAGAGGGCTATCTTCAGGCTACTCGTTCTGATGACGACTCTGAAGGAGAAGATTCTCAAGCGACTCCAAAAGCCACTCCAGCCCCAGGTTTTGATGACCCCATGGATGGCTCGATGTCGGGAGCGACCTCTGTTCCAGAATCGGATCCCCCCGACGACAACAACTACGACAACGACGATGATAGGGACGATGAATTCACGGATATTGGAGTGCGAGGATCGTGGAAGTTCACCAAGGAACGACTGGATCTCATTCGCCGCTGCATTCGCGAGGTCACTCTCCCAACACATGTGGCGCGTCCTCCAGGGAACCTTGGCGAAGCCAAGCATGGAAAATTGAAGGCAGAGGAATATCTCACTCTGTTTTCAGTCATTTTCCCCCTCGTTTTGCCAGACATGGAGCTTGACGATGATCCTGCACGACATGAAGCCATGCTAAAAAGTTATTGCGATCTGGTTGGATGTACAAACATTGCGGCATCTTTCAAAACCTCCAACTCTGCTGCCGATCTCTTCATGAATTACTACTCCGACTACTTCCCTTCCCTTCAGACTCTATTTCCTGACGTTGATGTTCTCCCAACACATCACTATTCGTGGCACATTCCCGATATTCTCAGAAACTGGGGACCTTTGGCGAGCCAAAATGAGTTCATGGGTGAGCGTGTCAACGGTGTTTTGCAGGACATCAACACCAATGACCACTTCTGTAAGCCTCAACCCAAACTAATTCTGCTGGACTCCTTGCTGACCACGTTTAGATGATATGGATTACACTAGGGTCAGA